GTTGGGCGAGGTAGAGAATTGGAGTAGAAGCCTGGAACTAGAGTAATCCAAGATGGCGGAGTAGAGTGGGATTTTAAGTATTCTGTTGTTCGTAGTTTCGGGTTATTCTGGGATTAAATATTATGACTGATTTAAACAATCAAGATATTACTGAAACAGAGACGGAATCAACAACAACATGGATTTTGCTGCAGATAGCTGATTCAGGTAATGTCGTACAAGCGTGCAAGCGCAAAAGCTGATTTCATTCAGGCTGAAAAGCGGTGTGATTTGTTTAAAGTAAAACAATTTAGGGCTAAATTATTTACAGATATAAATGAAACAATACTCGGCAAGATTTCCGTATAACCCCATACTTCATTATGTATTCAGTTCTTGGATAAAGGAAAGCAGAGGGAAAACAACAGATTTCCTTTGGGACTACGGCTTTGTTTTTGATTGGTATGGGGTTAGACGGAAATCTTTCCCAATACCCCTTTCGAGGCGGGAATCCTTATGTTTTTAAGAGTAAAATCTGTAAGCAATTGAATAGGCGTTTTTATCTCGTGTTTCGCGTTGTGAGATTATAAAGTTTAGACTAACACATTATTTTAATTACCTCAATGTGTTCCTTTGTTTTACTACGTGAAATTTTTAGACTTTTATTGTTGTTGCATTGATAATTTTTCAAGGAGCTCCTAGAAAAAGCAGTGTAGACACAGATAAACCATGTACACAGGTTGTGTGGCTGCTGCAGTAATTTGCGGAAACCTCGTATTCTGGCGCAAAATTTAGAAGTTTGAGGCATTTCTGAACTTACCAGAAAAAGTATTGGTTCAGCGACCTCTAGAACAGCAGGGCAAATTTAAAACAAAAATGAATGAAAAATTTTGGTTGTTCTTAAGGGGAAAGAGGTCATATTAAAACGCAGACTGCAGACCGTGCAGACCGGAGAATTTTTGGTTACTTACTACTTCACCCTTTGATACAGTACACCCAACAAGGAAGGTTTCATGGCCAATAGATAAGTGCCGACTGCTTGCTTTACTCTAGACTTGGCCGTTTTGGGGTCCTAAA